CTTCCGGAGGCGCTGGGCCTCAATCGCGATTGCATTGTGGAGAGGGCGCATCGCCTGGGCTCGCAGCAACAGAAATATTCTCGCCCCCGCCCGGTGATCGTGAAATATCTATCGTATGTGGATAAAACGGACATCCTAAAAACTTACCGGAATGGCTCGGGCTTACGTTTCCAAGGCAACGATCTCCTGCTCTTCGCTGACTACTCGGCTGAGGTCAGTCGCAAACGGAAGGCCTTCTCAGAAATCTGCAAGTTGCTCCACCATCGGAAGATCCGGTTTTCCGTAGTTTACCCGGCGATACTGAATATCCAGTCTTCGGATGGAACCCGACACACTTTCACGTCGCCGCAAGATGCCATGTCGTTCCTCGAACCAACTGCGGCAGCAGGCCCTGACCAACGATCCCACTCCGGGAGTAAGCGGCAACGTAGATCATCTCCACCTCCAACCTCCGTGCCCGGCGAGTCCACTTGAAGTGATCAAGGTAACAGGAGCTACACGACGGGATGCCCCTTTGCCGAAGATGGCGGTTTGTCTACACGGCAACTTACCTGAGATACAACAGATTACACTCTCAAATAGTTCCAAGTTTTTCTTCACCATCAAAGTAGCGATTTACCCGCTTTTGGGAACCATAGGGTCGACGTATTTGTTTTACACCATATCGTACTGATGGTATCGATCGTGGCATTCGACATGACCCACCACGTAACTATGATCGCTAGTTTTCTTCTTGTTTTATAACTTAGACTTTTGTTCTCTCAACTTTTGACGGGTTATCAAGGGCTTTATAGCTCTGGCCATGTTGGTCTTTAAGGTCTTGAGTCTCGTGCACATTGATATTTTTGATCCGGATATGCACTGTGGGAAAAAAGGGAGTGTTATGAATAGTTTTTGTTTCTCTCAGGCTCTTCGCTCCACTGGGCTGAGCCACTCTGTTCCGGGACTGCGTGACCCGGGTGGATCACCCATAGGAGGGAAGGTGCTCGTGCTTATATTGTGTTTTTTTCTACCTCTATTTTTATTTTTTGTCCGTTTGCTTTCGCTGCATATACTCATGTCCACAATCTATGTTCTAGTGTATGCTTGTACAACACAGCTTTATTTAGTACAGTGTCCATGTAATCTTTTAACCTTGCTAATACTGAAGGGGATGCCTACTCTCATTCTAGCTGCAGGTTGCTCCTATACTTGGGGAACTCACAGTGTCGATATCGTACATCTTGGTCCACAGGGAGTCCTGTGCAAAGTCGCCACAAACCCCCCTTCAATCATATATCTTATTGCAATGTCCAATACAATTAATATAGTCACATGGAATGTGAAGGGACTACGTTCACCCCAGAAAAGATCCAGAATATTACAACACCTTGCCAAATTAAAAACTCACGTGGCCTTATTGCAAGAAACCCACTTGCAACAGACGGATCTACACCGCTTACGTAAATACTGGGTAGGGGAGACCCCTGGCTTTTTATCCCCACCGATTACATTACTACAAGGTACCAGACAGGGTTGCCCATTATCGCCCTTATTGTTTAACATAGCCATTGAACCCCTGTCGAGATGGCTACTTGCTACAGCTGAACTCCATGGTATCAGGGTGGGCAAGGAGGAAATAAGAGCGGCTCTTTTTGCTGATGACCTCCTAATTTTTACCTCAAAACTGGATGAGAACTCCTGATCCTATCCCCCAAACTCTCCTCTGGGACCCCAACAATAATCCAACATGGCCTGCAGATTGCGAATCATAGCATCACATATTTGGGAATAAAGATGGGGAGACTACCCTCCTCATTATACAACCTAAATTATAAACCCCTTATTGAAAAGATGGTCAAGGAATTGGAAATGTGGACTTCCATGCCCCTGTCGCTATTTGGTAGGAGTCATGTCATCAAAATGATGAGCTTCCCTAAAATACTCTACCCTCTCCAAACCATCCCGTTATTACTCAAGCATGCGGATGTGCGAAGTCTAGAAAGAGCTTTTACTAGATTCTTATGGAAATCTAAACGCCCCCGCATCTCCTACCATCAGCTGCAAATCCACAAACTGGAAGGAGGTCTGGGACTCCCCAATGTACGCGCCTACAACTTGGCGTGCCTCCTGAGACATGCATACGACTGGCTCCTGGGCACGTCATACTACTCTAATTACACACTGGAAGCCGAATTAGCGTCCCCTTGGTCATTGGCAGGTCTACTACACACACGAATTAATAAGCTACCGGCCTCTTTGCGCACTAACTCCCTATTTAGGGATATGGTGGTTGCGTGGAGGGAGTACAGATTGAAGGCAGGGTTACATCCTTATGTGTCGCCACATGTCCCTATAGGGAACAATCCTCACTTCCCGCAAGGATCTAGCAATAAGATATTTGATGCCTGGGCAGCAATGGGTCTAAGCAAGCTGACCCAATTGTTTGACCCAGACACCCATCACCCTCTCACGTTCCCTGAATTACGACGGAAATTCAACATTTCGCCCCATCATTATTTTCAACATATTCAATTGACCCATTATTGGCGGAGTGAAACAACAATACCCAGCACTTTTTTTCAAATTACGGAATTAGATAAGGACACATCTACAGCCCCTGGATCAATTTCTAAACTATACCCCCTACTAAATTCTTACTTTGTCCCTAGACCGGCCAGAACTTCCCTCATTAAATGAAGAAAAGATTTCCCGATGGAAGAGTTTGAGAATGCTATGTTGGAGGGATGCCAGAATATTAGGCGCTGTACGCCGAATGAACAGTGGAGGGAGACTCACTTCCGAATTGTTCATAAAGCCTTTTATGCCTTCGATTTCTTTTTTAAAATTAAAGCTCCGAGCCCATACTTAAGAGCATGTCCAAAATGTACCCTGGAGGGGGCCTCCCTCCGACATTGTCTATGGGACTGTCCCCATATTGTTAACTTCTGGGACTCCATCCTATCTTAACTTACTGCTGGCGAAGCGTATAATAATGCATCAATGGCTATCCACGCAGCCACCTTCATCTCAACACTTTGTGGCAGCACTAACGTCACTGATGTGGAAAGAAAGGCTTGAAGCCACTCTCGACCCTGATAAATATTCCATCACTTTTGTCAAGAAATGGGAATCCTTCATACTACACAATTACACAGGATTGGAGTTACACGCTCTAATTTATCCATTCAGACTTACGCAGTGGTACCTAGAAAGGAAATTAGATAAAACCTTGGGGCGGCTGGAGATCCCTGATGATTATGACCCAGGCTAGTGCAGACAATCCTAGAGTTTTGCTTCTCACACAGAGATGTGATAGTAGAATGTGACCCGCTCAGGGAGCAAAGGGCTATTGCTTTCTTCCAGACATTGTACGATTTTATAGGCTGCACTTATTCTGTATTCTCTGTTTATCTTTGTTTTTGTGTAAATGTGACATGAGTATCCGACTTTCTTACATAACATATTGTTTATGTTGTTATTTATATGTTTTGGAATTTATGTTTTGGAAATTGCTGTATTTCCTGAAAACCCAATAAGTTGTTTTAAAAAAAAAACAAAAAAACTTGCGGGTATCCAGACCGGGCTTTTGTCACAACAGAAAGAAGAGGAAAGAATGCCAAGAGTACCAGTGAGGGTGAAAAGCATGAAAAACGGAAGAATTTGGTCCTCCCATATGTAGCCGGGTGTCTGAGGAATAAACATCACATCCCTGTCTGCTTTACACCCGGCAATACACTGAGGACACAACTGGTCAGTGGCGTAACAACCGGGGGGGCAGCAGGGGCGCGGGCACCGGGCGAAAAGTGAAGGGGGGGGCGCCAGCCGAAAATGGCACTTTCAGAAAAAAAAATTCTGCCCCGGGCGCCCAGAACTCTGGTTACGCCACTGCAACTGGTTCACCCAAAAGACCCGAGATACTGATAGAATAGACAGAACAAAGATGGCTTCCAGGATGCCCATGTTACAATGTGTAGAATAATATGTATCAGCCTTATAGTTTCATTCCTTTTAGCCCCAAATAGTTCTGACATTACATCACTCACCTGGCACAGCAGATCTGACCTGTACTTTAGGATCCACATGGGATTGCACATCCCCGTTGACACCCATCATATCATAACAATAAACCTTAATAATACAGTAAAACACAACAATGATTGTGCAATAACTATAGGCCGCGGCCCCTTTATTGGGTTTTAATCATTTTAACCAATAAATAAACTTTAACTTTTATTACCAAACAGAGCCTCTGTTAACCATTAACAGACCAGCATGCTTAGTCACTAAGACTCAAGCAGCAATAACTTACACCAACCAAATTACCGTTACTAGACATGTGCGATTTGTTTCGTTCCGAATCGAAATTCGGACGAATTTTCGGAAATTCGGAGGTTCGGATGCATCCGAATTCCGAATTACAGCTTAAACGAATACAAACGAATCCGAATTCCCGATTTCCCGAAATGCGTTAGCTGTAGTCCGGTCGAAATTTCGTTTATTGGAAGAAATTTCATTGCACCAAAGTGACATTAGAAAAAAAAATGTTTTTTATTTTTTATTTTACAGTCTGCAGAAGATGAAAAAAAAAAAAAAGCGTGAGGTTCCCCCCCAATTCATACCAGACCCTTTAGGTCTGGTAGCAATGTTAACCATCGCGGTACCCCTTCAAATAAGGGGGCACCCAGATGCCGCCCTCCCCCCTTGTGAATGAGTAAGGGGTACTTGTACCAATACCCATTCACTAAAGGGTTAAATCAAATAGTTAGTAAAAAGTCCAGACTTTTAGATAAAATCCTTTAATTGCAAAAAAAAAACAGACTCAATTTTTGTCTTTTTTCGGGAATTTCGGGAATTCGGATTCGTTTGCATTCGTCTTAGCTGTAATTCGGAATTCGGATGCATCCGAATCCCCGAAAATTCGTCTGAATTTCGATTCGGAACGAAACGAATCGCACATGTCTAGTAACTTTTATAATGAGAAAAGGAAAAAATATCATAGCCGCCTCTTTTGTTTTTTGTTAAGTTTGAGACATGAAAGTTCCATCAATCTCATTGTAACACAGTCTGGTCCCATGGTCAGTCCTTATCTCCTCGTTGTTGTCTGGGACCCCCACAATGTACACCCCGGGAATGTCTGTGGTGAGGCTCTGAGAATCGCTGATGTTAGAGTGTTTGTCCAGAAACCAGGAACTCACATTCACCTCATATACTGATAGAAGAGACAGAACAAAGATGGCTTCCAGGATGCCCCATGTTACCATATGTACAATAATATTTTTGTTTTTACACACTCTATTTATAAATTCCTCACCCTAGATTCACACAACTTTCACCTGAATGATTCACACATTTTCTAATTGGATTCCATAGATTGTGGATAGTGTGATATATGTATATATATTTGTCTTATAGTAAACATTTACCCCCTTTCACTAACAATCACCTCAGCGTGCAGCTCTGCGTGCTGATATCAGATCATCTGACATTCATTCGTTAAAGAAACATATTTTTCTTGTATTTACAATTATTTTGTTTACACCTCCTGGTCCTCTTGGGCATTAGTGATGTCATGTACCCGAGCATTGCATCCTGGGAAGGTGACATCAGCAGAGCATTGCTGGGAAATCTCATCTTTAATCTCATGAGATCTCAGGCAAAGGCATTTTTTTCCTCCCCTGAGATGATGTGCGTGGTCACATGTGCCAGAGTTCCAGGAAGTAGAGGGAGATGGGTTCATCTGCCCTTAGTAAAAATGGCCGCTGTGAGAAGAATGGGGAGGAAGTTTCTAGAAGTATCTGTTTGTAGATTGTCATTACTAAACATTTCTAAAGGTGTGTTTGTTGTCCTTTCACAGATCTGGGTAAAGTTCCTTTTTAATAACTATCATATGTTTCAAATAAAATCATATTCCCGATACATAGTTTGATATACTGCACCTTGGTTTAGATTTATTGCTCCATTTAGGACTTTTTCATGTACCTGTATGCATGTTACCCCTTTATACTGATATTGTTTGGAATGGAATGCCAATCCCCAAAGCAGTTTGGTCTTGGATCTTTAGTCTGCAATAGATCATCCATGGATGCTAAGACTGGGGCCATCTCCTGGATAAAAGCATCGCCCCTCCCCCTGCCTCCAGAGTGGTGCTGAAGCTGGCTGTACTCTGGTAGATTTCTATATGAACTTTCATACAAACAATGCCTTCAGAACACTTCATATTGCCATCAGAGGTCTGACGAATGTTGTGTGACGTTTCCTTTTGTTGTAACATTTGATTTTTGGACATTAATGGCATTTCCAGAACAAAAACCACATTCGCTGTGCCAATTTTGTTCATTCATTCTCCATCCTGCTCCCCTGATTTCCCTTCAATCGATGGCCAATCTGACAATGTGTACCGAGCTCAACTGGCCTGAACTCCAAGCCTGACAGATACAAGATGGCCGCTCTATGACCATAACTGGCAGGACATGGGGGCTTAGCACTGGTAAGGGGGAAAGTGTTAGTGCCAGGAAGGGGAAAGACTGGGCAGTGATATTCTAGGGCAGTGGTTCTCAACCTGTGTAACCTCAGGACCCACATTTGTCCTCGGTCATTGATTCACGACCCAAGTCACACCGTCCTGGAACGTATGGCATGGGGCATGACTTCCACACACTTCTGGCGTGGATCGAGCTGTGGGCTGGAGGTGCATTTGGGGTGCCATTCAAATGAATGGCAACACAAGGAACCTCCCGCACCAGAACACACGATAGGGGCGATTGCATGGTATAGTGCATTGATGGCAGGGGACTGTGTGATTATCACACTGTACTAGTGTGAACGGGCCTCAATAACACTGACAGACACACAACCACACACACACAACCACACACACACATACACCCTACCTATGAGAACTGGAGGGGATCCTCAGCCTGGGTCCAGTGTGGGCTGCTGTGCTGTGACGGAGCTCCATGTGCATGGCTTGTACAGCTCTCTTGCGAGCATTGTAGAGGTGTCGGGAACCAGAATGTGATGTCACTCTGCTACAGGGCATGCGATGGAGCTATAAGCAATGCACGTATGGATGGAGCTCCCTCACGCCACCCCACCTCAATATGACACTCTGCGCTGGGTGACATATCTTGAATGGCTGCTCGGCGGGAGAACTGACATTGCTGTGCTATGGGGGAGGCTGAGAAGCTTCTCACCTAGTGCAGTGGAAGACACACGGGGACACACTGAGTACAGGGTTGTGATCCACTTTTTGGGTCATGACCCACCTGTTGAGAAACACGGTTCTATGGGACTACCGGACAGGAAGTCAGATGTGTAAAATAAGAATTATCTGTGTCATCACCCAACAAATACATCATCAGATGGAAACTTTAACTTTTTGCAACTTTCGTTTGCTGGCGCAGGTTTGAATTGGTTGCCTCATGACACAGATACTGTTTTTCCTTCAAAATCTTTGCGCTCTTTATGTCTAATGGTCCCAAAATTCTACTTTTTGCATTAATAGCTGAAAACTGTGCGGATGAATAAACACACAAATAAAGGGACTTTTGTAGCAACGCTCACCGGCTGCACAAACCAATGGATTCTGTCCTCTCACCTATACAACGTCTCTGGGCTGACTTCCTGCAATGTCCTGACCCTGCCCAGATATCTTTATACAACCTTTCCCCACCCATAACACAGCATGGAGGGGCTCAGTGAAGGTGGTGGTGAACGTGTGTAAGTGTCGGATCGGGTCACACAGATCATAAAAGGAGATCCGCCCGGCCTCATAATCCAGAGAGACCCTGACTCTGTTACTGGAGATTTTGTCAGGTAACTTAATCTCTTTGCTGTTATGGTACACTGAACACTGATTTGTATCGCTGTATAAACCCCAGGACTTGTAATTGTGTCCAATCAATGACTGGCCTCCTCCCCTCTCTATACTGGGATAACACATACCGACTATCCACTGATCCGATCTACTGACATCCACTTCCCAGTAATGTCTCCATGAGGAGAATCTCCTGCTGCTTAATACCTGACAATAACTCTGAAATCTCTCTGTTGTTTCTGGACGATTCTGCTTTATATCTGACCTGGATAGAGATTTCCTGTCCTCTGATATCTGTAGATTATTCTGAGCTGTGTTTACATCCAGCACTATATCTGAAGCTTCCTGTATATTGAGGCATACATTTACCCCTTTCATCATATCAGATAACCCCGAGTGTAATGTGTGTGAGATTCCAGCCACATCCAGACCCCCTCCATCATGGAGAAGTCTATCATGTCTCTCTCTGTCCTCCTCATCCCCCTCCTCAGTATCACACAAGTCCCCTGTGTCTGATTCCTGTAGGACAGTCAGTGGATCAGTCAGGTTACACATCTCCTCAATGTGATCCATCTTCCTGGACAGCTCGGCCTTCTTTATTTCCAGCTTCTGGATCAGGCCAGACAATTGATGTGAGAGCTGCTCCTCCTGCCTGGAGATCTCCCTCAGGACTCTCTTCTCCAGGTCTTCCAGACGTCTCCGGAGGTCTCTGAACAGGTCAGAGACTCTCTCTGTTACACCAGCTGCGTTTCCTTGTACTTTCCTCCTGCGTTCCTCCAGACTCCGGACTCTTTTCTCCGTCTTCTCTCTCTCTGTGTTCAGTTTCTGAAGATCAGATCTCAGTTTCTTTTTCTTCTTCTCAGAGGCCTTGTCCAGAATCTCCACCTTGTGTCCCTGGTGTTCCCCATCCAGCCTGCAGGACACACAGATACAGGCCGAGTCCTCAGTGCAGTAATACTCCAGGATCTTCTTATGGACGGAGCATTTCCTGTTCTCCAGGGAAGTGGTGGGGTCACATAAGACGTGTTCTGGTGCCTTGCTGTGGACTCTCAGGTGTTTGTCACACAGAGAAGCTTCACATAGAAGACAGGACTTCACAGCAGGTACAGAGGTGTGAATACACTGAGTACAGAGGACTCCGGAGTCCTCCTTATCTGGCTGAGTAGACCGGAATGTCTCTGCTATGTTACGCAGTAATATGTTCCTGTGCAGTGCAGGCCGATCCTGGAACTCTTCTCTGCACTCAGGACATGAATAACCTCCAGACCCCTTCTGTTTATCCAACACACGATCAATACAGACCCGGCAGAAGTTGTGTCCACATCTCAGCATTACAGGATCTGTATAAATGCTCAGACAGACGGAACAGTCCAGCTCCTGTCTCAGATCAGCAGACGCCATCGCAGAGCAGAAGAGAGAAACAAAACTGAAAGAGAGCAGAGGTCGAGTCACATTCTTCCGTATAGGGAGGGGTGAGCTAATCCCTCAGCTTTCATCTACTGCAAACTACAAACACAAGGAAACTAATATGAATTACAGACATTATACCCCAACTACAGACTGAAGGATGGCACCCAGGTCTACAAACCACATTAAACTTCCAAACACCCCCCAACCCTCCAACACATGAAAGAAATATTGTATTATTAGGGTTTGGGAATCTGAGTTGGGGATGACACTTACTTGGGATGAGGTGGATAATGGCTTTTGTTGTTCCCCATAAGATGACTAGGGCTGCCGGGACACAGGAGAAGGGATTTAAATGGTTATCCAGGTGGTAGGCCTGCCCAAAGGCATCACATGGTATCTTTCCTGCTATTGATCCCGCTTGTTGGAGATGTGGTTCCTCGGTTCTCTGGGTGTCTGGTGGTCCTGTCTACCTATCCGCGGGGTTTGGAAGATAGTCTTTGCGGTGTACCGTTAGGTAACCAGTGGCACAGTGGATGAATCCCCCAGGTAGCCCTCCTTTCTGGTTCATATTCTCAGATCACTAAAGATTTATTGAGATTTTTTCTGGCGGCAGCTAGGACCCTCATCCCCAGACAGCGGGGGACCACCAGTGTCCTGAAGCTGACAGACTGGGTTCAGGAGGAACGTCTATGATTCACAAGAACGATTCCATGCAGTGTGGACGCCTTGGATCCTGTATATGGAGACCCCGGCCTTCAGGGAATTGACACTTCCATCCTGCTTACCTTAGACTCTATCCGTATGGAATTGTGTGTACTATGCTTCTTCATCTGTTGAGGCCTCTCAGGTTATATTACGTATGATGGGTATTGGCCTTTGATTTATTTTTGGCCGACCCTTTTCATGAGTGGCTTGTGGGGCTGGCTCCGCGGCACATGCCTTGGCAGATCTTGGAGTTTCTGTTTCTTTATTTCTTGCTTGCCTTGCTCTTATGTTTTTTTTTTTTCATTTCCTTTTTCATATTTCCTAATTGGGAAGGGTGGGAAGAAGTGTGATTTGACCTATTATTGGAGTTTGAGTTTATCGCCTACGTGACTTCTGTACATTGAGGTTGCAATTTTTTCAACTTATACTTTATGAGATGATTGGTCTAAGGGCTAGTTCCCACCGGTGCCGGAACGCAGTGGAACGCATCCTGGCCGGCTCACTGCTTTCTGGGATTGGAGGGGGCGTGGCGGTGCATTGAAGTCAATGGCACTGCTGCCACGCACGCACCAGAACGCAGTGCGATAGCCCTCATGCACAAATGCTGCATGCACTATTTTTTCTGATCGCAGCAGAACGCAGGGAATTAATGAGCCACGCTATCCGGTGTGGGCGATCGCAATGAGGCCCTGGTGGGGGACGGGTGTGCCTGCAGTGCCATTGACTTCAATGCACCGTCACGCCCCAGAATGCAGTGAGCCTGCCAGGATGCGATCCAGTGCGTTCCCGGCACCGAATCATGCCGGGAACACACTGGGGCTGGTGTGAAATAACCCGTACCACCACATTTGTTTCGATTCTTTGTTCGTTTTTGGTTTTCTCTCTTCCCTCTTCTCTTTCCTCCTGGACCCTATTCCCCTTTTTTCCAGGAATGAGTCACATCACTGATAACGGTGTCCACACATGGCTGCGATTTAAATGAATGTATTACTAAAGTCAGAGTATTTCAGTGTCAGGGCAGTGTGACGGCGCCTGGAGATAGGTCTGTCTAAGCTCCTGGTGATTGGCTGCTCAGGCCGTTGTACTGTCACATGGGTGAGGTCATGTGCTCCCGTGGCATCACAATGGGGGTGCAGTGGCATCACAATGGGGGTGCCGGGGGTGTGGCCTGCACCCGGGTGACACCAGTGCAGGGGTGACACCAAAATGACTGACAGTTATTTTGCTGTCACTCTCTCTAAAAGATCGGGTACTCGGTCATGGACCGAGAGCCCGACAGTGTCAGGAGAGGGGACCCAGTGGCATACCTCAGCCCACCGGGTGAACGTCCCCTCCTCTCTCTGCCGGCGTCCATAACATAGATGGCTACCGGCAGGCGTCAATCAGATGGCCGCTCATGCGCAATGACGACACGGTGTGGTGTCAGCCGGTCTGGGGACCGGGTGACATCCGGCCTCGGGACATCCCTGGCTGGGGGTTAGACCAATGGCATACACTGTCACTTACAGCAAATATTTCCCAGCACACTCATCAGCTGGCATGCAAAAATAAACCAAAGCACTCTGTATAACTAGCAGGTTTAAAAACAGAGGAGTTTGGTGTGTGCCTGTGCCTTTAAGGAGGATTGGGCTGCCTCCTGGCAAACCTGCACCCAATTCATGCTTTGCTCTGTATGCTCCAAGATGGCGGCTCTCATAGATTAGAGTTAGGACCGCACTGCACAGAGGGGCCTTGACCAGGAAGTGCGGCTTTCACATATTTTGCAACTAAAACCTTTGTTTTTAACCCAAAAAGTCAGACAGTCACTTGTTTTTTTTGCAGGCCGGCTGGTGAGTGTGCTGGGAAATGTTTGCTTTGCTTCTGGGCGGAGTCGTGCAATGCCACATGGGATTTGTAGTTTCACCACAGCTGGAGTGCTGAGGTCCCTACCCCTGGCGTAGTGGTTAGCACTTCTGCCTTGCAGCACTTGGTGTCCTCATTTCTAATTCCAGCCATACCCTCTTGGTATGCCGGCTTCCTCCCACACTCAGGAGACATGCTGGTGGATTCATTGGCTCCTCTCTAAGTTGGCCCTGTATGTATGCATATGGGATGGGGACCTTAGATTGTAAGCTCCTTGGGGCAGGGAGTGATATGAATGGGGTGTGTGTAAAGCACTGCGCAGAATGTCGGCGCTCCATACATACGTGTAATACATAATATGTTATTATGGTGATGTTGGTGATGTAACGCGCCGCGTTGTGTTGTGCAGCTGCAGCGGAACGACTTTGACACTCTCCCCGGCTACATCCACAACCTGCAGACGATGATGCTGATGGTGTTAAAGCAAGGTTCCGCCCGGCCGCAGGGGGACCACGGCCTCTTCCTGAGATACCACATCGAAGCCATTACCCTGCGCGGCATCAACAGCTTCCGCCAATACAAATACGACATGGTCACCATCGGACAGTGAGTACCCATGGCGGCCCCCGCTGCAGATTGCTGATCATTTTGGGAGTCTGGTATAGAAGCTAAGCCACTTCTATTGTACTAGCAGACCTTCCAGCTCCTGGTTAGTCTGGAGTTCTTCTTTAGCTGTATTCTATTTTGGTGCTGTTACTGCTCCAGTTGGATGTGCTGTGCTTGCAGTTCTGCAGAGTGTCCAGGAGGTGGTGCTGTGCTTCTAGTTGTGTGGAGTGTCCAGAAGGTGGTGCTGTGCTTGTAGTTCTGCAGAGTGTCCAGGAGGTGGTGCTGTGCTTGTAGTTCTGCGGAGTGTCCAGGAGGTGGTGCTGTGCTTGTAGTTCTGCGGAGTGTCCAGGAGGTGGTGCTGTACACACATCTTGTGATGGTTGTGTGACTTCTCTTCTGTCTTGTCCCCTCCACAGGACCCAAAGCTGCTGCCTCTTGAGCCTGAAAGAGATATACACGCAGCACCTAGGGCTGCCGCCTGTTCACCCGGACAGTACAGGTTTGGAATGCTGTGTCCGGATTTCATAGCAGCTGAAACCCGGACACAAGATGTCAGGCAGACAGGGGGAACCACGGGGCCCTGGAAAAGTTCTTACCAATTGTGGAATTTAGTTTTTTCTCGGCTGTCTCTCTTTCTCTCTCTCTGTCTCTCTCTCTCTCATAGCTGTCTCTCTCTCTCTCTCTCATAGCTGTCTCTTTCTCTCTCTCTGTCTCTCTTTCTCTCTCTCTGTCTCTCTTTCTCTCTCATAGCTGTCTCTCTCTCTCTCATAGCTGTCTCTCTCTCTCTCTCTCTCTCTCTCTCTCTCTCTCTCTCTCTGTCTCTCTTTCTCTCTCATAGCTGTCTCTCTCTCTCTCATAGCTGTCTCTCTCTCTCTCTCTCTGTCTCTCTTTCTCTCTCTCTGTCTCTCTTTCTCTCTCATAGCTGTCTCTCTCTCTCTCTCTCTCTCTCTCTCTTTCTGTCTTCTGGCTGGCTCTCCTCTCTCTCATAGCTGTCTCTTTTTCTCTCCTCTGGCTGTCTCTCCTCTCTCTCTCTCCTGTATAGTCTCCCCAAAAAATTCCACATAGCGCTACAGTGTTCTGGTTTCACTTGAAGAAAAGGTGGCAACCCTAGCGGCACCGTTCTGTTTACTATGCACTCGACATTGCATAGTGTTGCTCCGCCCCTGCTGTATGCCACATAACGTTAGGGTTGCCACCTGTCCAGGATTCACCCGGACAGTCCGGGTTTTGAATGCCGTGTTCGGGTTTCATGGCAGCAGAAACCCGGACACAAGATGTCAGGCACACAGGAGAAACCAAAATTAAGATAGGGGGCTACTGGCCCCCCCACTGAAAATAGTCTCAACTGTGATATTTACATATGAAAAAGCCGCAACTCATTCTTCCAAGAAAATTTCCGTGTGTCGCTAGAGTGTTCGGGTTTCGATGGAAGAAAAGGTGGCAACCCTACATAACGTGGTGGGTAGGGGCGGGGGGACCCCAGAAAATGTTTGCCCAGGTTCCAATATTAAAGATGGCCCTGTGTGTCAGCAACTGTAAATTTTCTTTGGAAAGTAGCCATAGCCTGAGTAGAAAAGCTTGCCCCTGCCAGAATGTTGCAGAGAGGGACCTTTTCTCTCTGTGGGTAAGCAGTGGTCAATGAAAGTTGACCTTGATGCTGAACTCTGGACTTTTTGTCAAAAAATACTCTTGCAGTACCCCCTCCCCTCACCTGTATTGTAATGGTTAATGTCTCATTACCCTGTGCCCGCGCTGTGAGTGCGGGAAGAGTGTGCCAGACTCGTATCTCGCTGTATGGAACGAATACCGCTGCTCCCGGGTAACGTGTTCTCCGCCTTTACCGATACACCTCGTGTGATTGGATTTGTACTTTGCCAGTTAGTGGGAGGTGCTGATAGCGCAAACGAATACAACTAACGTTGATATCGGAACTGACTGTACTGTGTACCTGTGTCTCCATGCCTGGAGTGAAACTGCTGACATTACTATTGTAAATACTCTTCCTACTACCGGCTCTCCGGTAATAAACGTTATCTTGTTCAAAAGACCATTACGTGTGATCACCTCTGTGAAGCCACTACACCCTAAGCCCGCTTACACGCTCTTCCCTCTGATGCTCCGTGATGTAGGCGGGACCTCGCCATTCCTCATGTACAATGCAGGACTGCGCCACTGTATGTGGCAACATCATAGTGTGGTCACCAGATTAAGTGCCAAAGAGAATAATATTCAAGGGATCTTATTCCGCTACCCCTAGACTAAGCATTTAAGCCGATAGAACGGGGTTGGGGGTTGGGAAATGGAGCTTTCTTTAATCCCAGAGTTCTGCTTTAACCCATATTAGAGACTCCGCATGCATTTTGTTTTGTGTTTCTTCATTCATGATATCATGGAACATATTCTGCAACAGGACAGTACGGCTTTCTATTTCCCAAGAAAAGTTTTTTACATAATGACCCCCCCC